GTTATCCCTCCCACGCTCAGCTCATTGTGACGTGCTTTCCTTCAGATCACAGACAACGGCTGTCGAGCCTTCTCGCAGCATCTCGCCAACAACAGGACGCTCAAGATCATCGACTTGTCTTCTAATCTGCTCACTGCTGATGGTAACAACTCTTCTGCCCCCCCCCCTTCCCGCCTTCTTTCCTCTTTGCTTCTTCTCTTTTTCCTTCCCTTTCTCTCGTCTCATTTAGCCAGCACATCTCATATCTTATCCTCTCCCTTCTCCTCCCTCTCACGCTTACCTTCCTCCTCTGCTCCTCCCTCCCTCTTTCCCTCCTCCCTCTTTCCTCCTGCACTGTATCCTCATGTTCCCCTTCTCCTTCCTTCCCTCCTCCTGCCCTCCTTGTCTCCCGTACTTCCCTTCTCCCTCCTTCCCTCCTCCTGCCCTCCTTCTCTCCCTCCTTGCCTCCTCCTCTCTCACCTCCCCCCCCTCTCCTTGCCTCCTCCTCTCTCATCCTCCTACAGGCGTGTGGGTCCTGGCCGAGTCAATCATCGCCAACCGATCCATCGAGACAATTCGCATCAACGACAACCGCCTCCTCGACAGCGGAGGAAGAGGCATCGCCACCATTCTCAACGGGAACCACCACATCCAGGAGGTCAACGTAGCTGGCAACGGCATCGGGCCCAAGGGGCTGATTCCCATCTTCAAAGTCCTGATGATGCGCCCTGTACCGCTCGAGCTACACATTCATGGCAACCCCTACCTGCGAGACGACAAGTGCCTCAAGTATATTGACAAGCTCGAGAGCTCCAATAGAATCGTCTCAGTGAATCAGTAAAACCTTATTGTCCTCTCTTGTTTGTTTTGCACTCCCTCTTCCTTCTCCTCCTCCTCCTCCTCCTCCCAGCGATCCCTCGTCACTTCGTCACTTGTTTTGTTCCTCCATTCCTAGTCATTCTTCTCCTAGTTTGCACTCTTCCTCCCCTCCCCTCTCCTCTCCTCTCCTCTCCTCTCCTCCCTCCCCTCCCCTCCCCTCCTCTCCTCTCCTTACTTGTCTTTCGTTTTCCCAGGCCATTTTTGCTTTCACTACCCCTCCCTTTTCCCATTCTCCACCCAGCCTCATGAAAATACTCGATGGTCAACTACCCTACCCTAAGATTTCAAAATACCTTCTCACTACCGTCACTAAATCGCGTGAAAATAGTCTAATTGACGGGTACTATGTACACCCCACCCCCTATAAACATCCTGAATAGCGACTGCTGAACTTTGTGGTGTTTTATAAAAGTCAGGAAAGACAGTGAAGAAGAGAGGAGGAGAGGAGAAGAGAAGAAGAGAAGAAGAGAAGAAGAGAAGAAGAGAAGAAGAGAAGAAGAGAAGAAGAGAAGAAGAGAAAGGAAGAGGATAACACAAACATCTGAAAACCACAAGAAATTTCTTCCAAGTCTATCAGAAGGCAGAGCCTGTTGAGAGCTTTACAACAAACTAGTTGAAATTGGTACCGGGATGCTGGCCGACAAGGGATATGATGTCATGGACGATCCCGACCATGTAGAAGCTCAACCAGAGGCCCATCATCATGACTATGTGAGAGCTTGTGTGAGGAGACGGTAAGCTCCAACCATCCCCTCCCCCTGTTGACATCTTCGTTCAGCTGGCAATGGGTCACAATAGCAACAATGGCCGGCATTTTGGCGATATTGATCAGCCTTGCCATGCACTTCTCGTACCTGAAGAGGCACAGGAAGAGTGCAATAGAAGATGATCTCGACAGCGACCAACGGAGGTTCACCTTCACTTACTTCAAGAGCTGCAGGTAGGTCGAGTTCGATCAGATTTGTGGTTGGGTGTATGGTGGTTGTCACGATGAGCTTGCAGCGAGATGGAGGAGCTGACGAGTCTTGAGACTGAGGAAGACATCTCCATATCGATGTCTCTTGTTCCAGGATGGAGCTGGTGGAGTAGCGACTATTGCGACTACTGCAACTGTAGCACCCGTGCAAATTATCCTGGTTGGTAACTGCGAACACGTTTTGAGCGTTGTGAGGACGAGGACGAGGACGAGGACGAGGACGAGGACGAGGACGAGGACGAGGACGAGGACGAGGATGAGGATGAGCAGGACGAAGTTGAAGGAGAGGCAGCAGGCAGTTCTGAGTGGATGAGAGGAGCACTCAGGAGTGGAGGAGTAGTGGAGGGGGGAAGTAAAGAAGGAGAGAGCGCTGCTGTAAGGAGCAAGCTATTCTGATATGTTGCAAATCTGAGTTGCAAAGCAGGATTGGTTTATGCAGCTGAGACAGCAAAGGCGGGCGATTCAGCCTCCTCCTCCTCAGCTGCTGGTGCTGGTGCTGCTGCGCCATCGTCTCCTGACTACTCAACAACCAACAATCAGGTCAGATGAAGATGCTGTTGTCATGTTCGATGACGAGGGAGCAGGTGAAGGGAGTCGACGAGGCTGACGTGATCAAGACAGACGGGAGATTCTTTTACCTGCTTGTCTTGTCTGAAAACCTTCTGATCATCTGCAAAGTAGCTGCTTCTGCGCTTGTCTCGTTGCCTCACGTCTTGTGAAGGCCTATCCTCCCCAAGAGCTCGACGTCCTGAGTAGAGTTGACCTGAGACAGTCAGGTCTTGTTTACCCACAGGTATGCGAGAGAGGAGGAGGAAGGATGAGGGGCCGAGGGAGAGGAGGGAGAGGAGGGATGAAGAGGGAGAACGAGGTAGCGGAATTGAAGGAGTGGAGAAGGAAATGAAAGAGTAGAAGGAGCACATAGAGTCTTGGGAGTTATTAGATTGGCAGAATCTCTTCATCAAAGGAGACATAGTTGCTGTCCTGGGAACTTCAACGCTGAGGTAAGTCAAGATAAAGAGTTTCAAGGATTTGACTTGGACTATAGGGCAGAGGCGACTGGCGAATATTTTTCTGTAGCTGCCTGCCAATTGTGGGACATCAAAAATCGCTCGGCTCCGAGTTTGACTCAAGTGATCGATGAGAAGAAGTTTGAAGTCTGTAGAAAAGTTGACAAGATGGCAGACGATTGAAGTGGAAGGAGATCATGTGGCTAGTCGCCTTGTGGATGATGTGATGTACCTGGCGATCCGGTGAGCTGATGAAATTTTAGGTGTGAAGTGGTGGTTTTAGATATATGTGTCATAGAGTAGATGGATGAAATCGTGATGTTGAGGGAAGTTGTTGTTCTGGAACATGTGACTGATCTTGTAGAACCTATTGCCCTTTGAGGCGAAGAATGTCCAATGAGAAAGTTTTTCAGCCCAGGTAATTTGTCGAATTCCTCTAACAACTTACTGTATCACCTTTTTACGACAATTTTGTTCGTTCTATGCAACTTTCCCTTCATCTGAACTTTTTCTTCTTCATGCATGATGTTACTCGATTGCTTCATTCTCGTCCTCTTCTCATCATTTTATTGTTCTCTCTCTCCCTCGCTGCTCTCTCCTCCTCCCTTCTACTCTCGTCCTCCCCTCGTCCTCTTCTCTCTCCCTCTCTCTCCCTCTCCTCCTCCTCCATACTCCTCCTTGTCTCTCCCCTCATCTCTTCCTCACTTCTTGGCAGCACTAGAGCTTCGGCTCCTCTCTTCAGGTCAACATTTGCAGCTCAAGACTCGATGGCCTCGCCTCCTTTCCGTCCCATCGCTCCATGCACGAGCATCAGCTGGATACCTGAGCTTCCTAGCGCGACAGGGTGAGAGAAGTTGGGGACGAGGATGTAGAGGAGAAGGAGGGGGAGGGGCAGACGACAGGAGGCTTTGAAGAGGAGGAGGGAGAAAAGAGGAGAGGAGAAGAGAGGAGAGGAGAGGAGAGGAGAGGAGAGGAGAGGAGAGGAGAGGAGGGGAGGGGAGAGGAAAGACAGAAGAGGAGGGAGGAGACCTGATGGTTTTACAGATGGATCTCTATTGTGTCAGTGCGCATCAGCCGTGAGAATTTGGGGAGAATATCATCAGCAACGCATGCAGGTAAGGGGAGAGAGAAGAGCTACGACGAGGAGGAGAGGAAAGAGAGAAGAGGAGGGAAGGAAGGAGGGAGAGGGGAGAGCTGGTAAGGAAGCGAGGCAGGACGAGGAGGGAAAGGTATTAAAGATGACAGTGAAGTTATTGAGACCCTTGCAGGCAATGGTTTCGTCCTGTATGCCTCATCAACCCACCTCTACGTCGCTTCTACCACCTGGGGCGAGGGAGAGGAGGGAGGAGGAGGAGGAGGAGGAGGGGGAGGAAAAGGAGTAGCAGTGGGCGAAGGAGGAGCAGCAGGAGGGTCCAGTTTCCGTCTAGCAGAGCCCATGACTGTAATCATCAAGGTGCAACTCAGCCTCTCTAGCCTCGTGTAATCTTTGCTCCTGCTCAGTTTGCCATGAACGCGGGAGACCCAACCTTCGAGCGGCTAATCAAGGCAGGAGGTGAGGAGGAGGAGCTTTCTTCTCGCTGACCGAGCTAGCAGGTTCCGGGCATCATCATCAATCAGTTCGCCATGGACGAGTTTGACGATCATCTCCGAGTTGCGACAACCTCAGGGGATGTCTGGGGACAGACCAGGTAGCCCTGCTTGCTTGCTTGCTGCTGCTGCTGCCTCTGCTGCTGCTGCTGCTGCTGCTGCTGCTGCTTCCTGAGGCCGAGAGTTCACCTTTCCACAGTCAGAGCAATCTTTTCATCATCAACGCTACCGGGGGCCTGCAAGGGAGTCTGCGAGGGCTTGCTCCTGGGGAGCGAATTTACTCTGTCCGCTTTGCAAGCAACATGGTCTACGTCGTCACTTTCAGAAGAGTGAGTCCTCCTCCCTCCTCCCTCCTCCCTCCTCCCTCCTCCCTCCTCCCTCCTCCCTCTTCCCTCCTCCCTCTCGTCCGCCTTCTCTCGCTGTTCTGCCCGTCGCTCCCGCCTTCTCTGCTGATGGGCTTCATGCAAAGGTGGATCCTCTGTTTGTTATCAACGCTTCGGATCCTTGGAATCCTCTCCTCAAGGGAGAGCTCAAGATTCCTGGCTTCTCCGAGTACCTCCATCCTATCAACGACACCCGTCAGTCCTTCCTCTCCTCCTCCTCCCCTCCCTTTCTTCTCTTTCCCTCCTCCTCTCCTTTCTTTCTTTTCTTTCCCTCCTCCTCCTCTTCCACCATTCTCCTTGTCTTTCTCTCTTTTTCCACTCACCCTCTACCACTTCTCCCTTTTCCTTCATCTCTTCCTCGCTTCCTCCCTCGTCCCCTACACCCTCCTCCTTTCTCCTCTTCCTGCTCATTTTCCTGTCCTTGTGACGACTCTACAGACCTCATTGGTCTTGGACGGGAGACGAGGGAAGAGCGGGGGATGGTGCTGCAGCTCGGAGTGAAGATCTCCGTCTTCGATGTCACCGTCCCTTCCTCCCCCAAGGAGCAGCAGGCGATCGTGCTGGGAGGAGCAGGGTCATACTCGGAAGCAGCGTGGGATCACAAGGCCTTCCTGCTGCATCGAGGTGAAGAGGGAGAGAGTCTGAGCTGCATCCTATTCTGACATCTCCTCCTCCTCCTCCTCCTCCTCGTGCTCCTTCTCCTCTTCTTCCTCCTGCCCGTCCTCCTTCTAATCCTCTTCCTCCTCCATCATCATCACCACCACCATCTCCTCCTCCTCGTCCTCCTCCTCGTCCTCCTCCTCGTCCTCCTGTGCCTCCACTTCCAGGACTTCTCGTCCTTCCCATGTATCTCTACACGGAGGACCAGGTTTCCGTTCCTTCCTCACGTCTCCTCCATGAATGATTTCATCCTGCAGGTGCCTTTCAGCGGGGCCATCCTCTTCGATATGTTCGGCGAGAAGATCAAGGAGCGGGGGAGGATTTCTCACTGCTCAGGGGTGACAACATGCAACGAGAACAAGCGCATCCGCAGGAGCGTCTACATCGACGACTGCATCTTCACCTTCTCCGACAGGTGCAGCCTGCTTGCCTGCCTCCACTCCCCGTCTCCTTCTTCATCTCCGTCTCTGTCCCAGCCCCTTCCTCGTCCCCCTCCAGCTTCACTTGTTCAATCTTTCCTTGTCGCTTCTCCTTTGCACCTGCTTACACTCATCATGATTCTCATCATTTCATGTCTTCTTGTGACTTCTCTCCTCTCCTGCTACCGCCTTCAAACAAGACTGTCCTCCTCCTCTTCACCTCGTCCTCGTCCTCGTCCTCGTCCTCGTCCTCGTCCTCGTCCTTGTCCTCCGACTCCTCCTTGACCTCTTCCTTCTCTTCCTCCTCGTCTTCCTCCTCGTCCTCCTCCTTCTCTTCCTCTTCACTCACTTTGCCCCGCTAGAACGTCTCAAGTCCACCAAGTGAGGGACGTGACTTTGATCCGACAAGTCAACCTCTCCCGCCCAGCCTGCGAGTAACTCTCTGGGACCCTCCCAGCTGCCATCATAGGGGAAGCAACTTTTCTCAGCTCGTGTGGGAGAGGAGGAGGGGTGCGGGGCAGAAGATCGAGTGTGGGGAGTCAGAGGGTAGAGCAGCTGCTGCCCAGTTTGTTAACTATCTTGTATTACCATCATGACAAAAGCTATCATAGTATGATTTAAGTGCCGAAGTGACAGTGACTCACTGTATCACTGTACCGTACTGCCGTATCATCGTTGAACCCACCGTGGCAGTCACTACTGAATTGGGCTGAAGACTGAAGGTAGAACTTTGATTGAAGGTAGACGGTTTTCATCCGATCAGTACCCGGCGGCGGCCGCGACCGGCGGCCACTGACGGTCGTGGCCCGGGCTCGGCGTAGTCACGGCGCCGCCCGTGCCGGACTGGGAGCGGGAACTTGGAAAGTTCATTAGTTCTGACCCTGGTTTTAGTTAGGGACTGAGCGGAGATGAGGGTATTCGGCCTCCATCTCCACAAAGAATCCATGGACTATTGGACAAGGCATGGGGGACGCGGGCTAAGATGGAGGAAGAGAGGAGGGAGGACGAGGAAGAGCAGGAGAGTGAGGAGACTATACAAAGACATATGAATGAACATGAGAAAACGAAGTCGAAGATGAGGGAAGGGGAAGTTAGAGGGAAGGAGGGAGGGGAAGGACGGATGGCCTAGGACAAGACCTTGTGCAGTCAAGAAGGTTCAGAGTCAAGGAAGCAGAAGGGGAGGAAGCGGTTAGCAATGCAGAATACGAAACTAACGAGAGAGACAGAGACGGAGGAGTGAAGAGAGCGGGACAATGATGGATGCAGTGGCGGTGTGAGGATCACAAGAACGCGGGCGCAAACGCAAAGCGAGACGCTGACGAGTTACTCAGGTTATGATGGGGTCGAGGAGGAAGAGGAGAGGTATGACGGCTGTCCGACTGATTGCAGCCATGCTCCTCGTCTTCCATGTGACTCAAGGTGAATAAGCCTCGAGTGCCATGTGAAGGTCAAAGCTCAACAGGTGAAGCTGGAGGATCGAGTTCTCTCCTGCAAACCTCGTGCCAACGGAGCATCACGCGGAGACTTCGAGGAGGAGGAGGAGCGAAGCAAGACGACATGGCAGTTATCATCGATGTGGATGGTTGCCTCTACCCGAAGTCCACAGGGCTCGAGGACGAGATCGTTCGAAACATCCATCGATGGTGCCTCAGCAGGTGGACTGGGGAGAGAGTTCCCTCCTCAGCATCCGACCTGCTGCTGCAGGTACAAGATGTCGCCTGAGGAGAGCGACGAGCTACACAGGAGGTTCGGGTCGACCGTGAGAGGCCTCAAGGAGGAGAGGAACTTGAGCCCTAAAGAAGAGAAGAGCTTCTATCAGGAGGTCTGTTGCTAGTGCCTGTTTCCTGCCTTGGCCGTCTCGTCCTCGTCCTCGTCCTCGTCCTCGTCCTCGTCCTCGTCCTCGTCCTCGTCCTCTTTCTCTTCCTGATCGTTGTGCTGATCGTTGTCCTTGTCCTTGTCTCCCTCAGGTCTTCTCTTCGCTGGACTACTCCAAGCTCCTTATCAACCCCGCCTCTTCTGACGATTCTGGTTTCCGCCATGCAAGCATGTTGCGTCCTCTCCTCTCCTCTGCTTCTTGCAAGAAGATCATTGCTAGCAACTCGCCGCTGTGGCACGTGAACAAGGTAAGCAATAAGCTGATGCTGAAGCAAGAAGGAAGGATGAGGAGGAGAAGAGGAGGGGGAGGAGGAGGAGGGGAGGGGAGGAGGAGGAGAGGTGGAAAGGAGTTGGCGAGGAAAGCAGAAGAGGAATGGGGAGAGGGGGAGGAGAGGAGGAGAATGAAGGGTTACATTTTGCTTGTTGGGAGGATCTTTGGAAATCTTACCATCATCGGCAGGTTCTGAATGCGTTGGGCCTTTCCCGTGTCGGTTGGAACTTCATAGCGACTCCAGAGAAAATGGGAGGACTGACCAAAGTATTGCAAAGCATCCTGCTGCTGCTGCTGATGCTGCTGCTGATGCTGCTGCTGCTGCTGCGGCTTCTCACTGTATCTGCCCCCTCCTCCTCCTACTTTGTTTCCGTGTCATCCTCTCCTTCGACCCCTTCCCTCGTTCTGTTCTCCTGGAACTTGACGTGCCGTCCTTGACGATGTGCAGTCAGAGCCAAAGTTCTGGGAGGAGCTGAAGAAAGCGGCTGCTCTTCCTGCCGACTGTGTGCTGCTTGACGACAGCGACGTGAATCTCAAGACAGCTGAAGGAGCTGGCATACGACCGATGAAGGTGATTGAGTCCAGGAGGAGTGGAGGGAGGGCACATGAAGACGAGTAAGAGAAGACTGGAGGAGGAGGGGAAGAGCGGAGGAGGGAAAGAGTGAAGGAGGGGAGGAGGAGGAGGAAGGAGAAGAAGCGAATGATGCGGTGAGGATGGGTGACGGAGCAGGCAGGTTGATACAGGAAGGCCTGTAGAAGATGCTATGCTGGAAGTTCTTGGAATGATTTCACCCCAAGACGAGTGGAACTTTGATGCCGTTGAGTACATCAAGGCAAAGAACGTAATCGACAAGAGATCGATGAACGAACAAGTCTTCAGCGCATTGCTCAGGTAATGCCTGTGGTCAACCAGCACCCTTGTGCTGACTCTCTGCGGTGCAGGAGGCTGGCGCTGCTGGGGAGGGAGGAGACGTTGAGGATCGTAGACGTGGGAGCGGGGCTGCTTTCTATGCTCTTCAAGCTCGAGAAATTCTTGGAGGAGAGGGAGGGACCGGTGGAGTACATCGGGCTGGAAGTTGACGGGACCTTGTTCGAGCATGCTGGAAGGCTGTTGGCTTCCAAGGTGGGAAGGACGTTGTGCTGCTGGGCTGATGACAGTCGCAGGGGTACGAGGAGAGAGGAAGTTCAGCGCCGGGCGCAAAGTTGCGGCAGTTCAGCAGAGGCAACCTGCGGGTCACGATACTCCAGGATGACGTGAGAAGGATGAAACCGAACGTTTTCGGAAGGTATCCTGACTGTTCTGCGAGCCGATCCGTGACCCGGCGGCCTTCAGGGTTGACCTGTTTGTTGCCTGCTGCTTCGTTGATCTTGTGGACCCGGAGGTATCGAATTTCTCCGTCTTACAAAAATCTTCGTCATCTTCCTGCTGCTGCTGCTGCTCCTCCTCCTCCTCCTCCTCCTCCTCCTCCTCCTCCTCCTCCTCCTCCTCCTCCTCCTCCTCCTTCTGCTGGTGGTGGTGCTGGTGGTGGTGCTGGTGGTGCTGGTGCTTGTGCTGCTGTCCTTGCCATGATCCTTGTCGCTCTCTTCCTAGCTTCTCCTTCAGCAATTGTTGAACTCTGCTTTCCTTGCTGCACTTGCCTCTTGTTTTGTTTTGCACTCGTCTGTCTAAACTCACACTGATTGTTCCTTTCTTCCTCCTTCTCTGCTTCTCACTCCTCCTCCTCCTCCTCCTCCTCTCTCCCCGTCCTCAGGTCCTCGTCAAGACTTTGTTGCGCATCGCCGGCTCCCGCAGCAAGACTCTGGTCTACGCTCCCATCTCCTTCTGCGGGGAGACAACCATCCTTCCCTCTCACCACCAGCAGGGAGACCTTCCTAGTCCGTCCACTCGCCCCACGCCCTCCCTTCTCTCACCCTGCCGCAGGCGACGTGGCGATGATGGCCTCCTACCATGACAACCTGCGCGTGCAGCAGAAGCACTTCCTCGACCTCTCGATGTTGCAGGACGTCATCCAGGTGCTGGGAGACTTTCTGCCTTCCTGGACGCTCATGATACTTGACAGGATCATGGGGGATGCATGCTCGCGGAGGGAAGCTCGGACTGGGTGATAAGTGCTCCAGCAGAGCAGGAGCAGGAGCAGGAGCAGGAGCAGGAGCAGGAGCAGGAGCAGGAGCAGGAGCAATCGTCCAGCGCCCTGTCTACGATGAGGAAGTGCATGCTTTACTTCTTCGGGAGGGGCCTGGCACCTTTGAACTCGCGCTCCTGCAACGTTGCTGGCTGGATCGACCGGCTCAAGTCCAGCAGGGCAACTATTGTAGCCAAGAACAAGGACTTGTTGTTCCAGCTGCAAGGAGAGGAGGAGGTAGAGGAGGGAGGAGAGAAGGAGAAGGAGGGAGAGAAGAAGGAGGAGGAGGAAACAGGCAGAAAGGAAGGAGTGAGCAACGAGCGAGCAATCCTTGAGTTCGTTGGTCCTCGGCAAGTCAAGGTCCGGTATGAGCAGGATGTCGCCGAGCTCAACAGCAGACTCGCCAAGGACGAGCTCCTTCTTCAGACTCTCAGCTCTGCTGTAATCTTCCTTCCTCCTCGCCCTCAAGATCCCCTTCTACCTCCTCCTCATTTTCATTCCTCGCCCTTAAGATCCCCTTCTACCTCCTCCTCCTCATTTCCTCTCCTCTCCCCCCTCTCTCACCTTGTCCATCTTCTTTCTCCCCGTCCTCGTCCTCGTCCTCGTCCTCGTCCTCGTCCTTGTTCCCGTCCTCGTACTGTTCCCCCTCCTCGGCTCACATCGTCGTCCTGCAGGTCAGCAGCGGGACTGAGCTGAAGATTTTCCGAGGAGAGTTCGAGGAGGACGCCCAGCTGGATACCACCATAGAGGACATGAAGGAGCAGCGAATGGCGTATCCTCTTTCCTACGGCTACTCCCTGGTGGGGAGGGTGATAGGGAGTGGAGTATCAGCGAGGGAGTGGGAGGGGAAAAGACTCTTTTCCTTCTCTCCCCATTCATCTCACGCCATCGTCAGCGCCAACGGCGCTATGCTCGTCCCCGAGCACATCTCTGACGAAGACGCCTGCTACTTCCCAGCTGTGGAGACTGCTCTCTCCCTGGTGCAGGATGCTCGCCCGATGGTCGGCGAGCGAGTCGCGGTCTTCGGGCAGGGGATGATCGGCTTGCTCGTCAGCTCCATCCTCGTCCAAACCGTCGGGCCCGAGCATGTTGTCGCTGTCGAGCTCGACCCGGCCCGGGCTGCCCTTGCTCGCAGAATGGGCGTGAAGCACGTTCTCACCCCAGCTGAGCTTCAGCAGCGCCGCCTGCACATCGACCTCTCCATTGAGGTGACGGGCAATCCGCGGGGGCTCCAGGCGGCTCTAGATCATACAGCTCGAGGAGGACGGGTGCTGCTGGGGTCCTGGTACGGCTCGAAACCAGCTCAGCTCCTGTTGGGCATCAACTTCCACCGAAGTCAGGTAGAGGAACTCTCCTGCTCCTCCTCCACCTGACGTTCTTCCCTGCTCCCCTCCTCCTCCTCACTCTCAGCTGTCTATCAAGTGCTCTCAAGTCAGTCAGATCGCTGCTGACCTCTCTGGGCTGTGGAGCAAGCAACGGAGGTTTGACGAGGCATGGACGTGGGTAGGAAGGATCAGGTGCCGGCTACACATCATCATGATTATCATCATGATCATGATCATGATTATGATCATCATCGTCATCACGATCAACAACAACAACAACAACAACAACAACAACTGCTCCTGCTCCTGCTCCTCCTCAACAGCTGCTGACTATCCACTGCAGGCCCAGTCTTTTCCTCTCTTCTCTGTTCTTGCCGCTGGAGCAAGCACAGGAGGTGAGTCGGAGATGCAAGCATGCTGAGATGATAGCTGACTATTCTCCCTCTCCTCTCCTCTCCTCTCCTCTCCTCTCCTCTCCTCTCCTCTCCTCTCCTCTTCTCTCCTCTCCTCTCCTCTCCTCTCCTCTCCACTACTTGACTTTTCGTTTCCTTCTCCTCGTTCTTTCTTCCTCCTCCTCTCCGTCACTCCTCGTCATTACTCCTCCTCCTCCTCCTCCTCCTCCTCCTCCTCCTGTTACTGCTCTGCCTCCTCCTCCCAGGGGTACTCGAGCCTGGACCAGCAGAAGCCTGGAGTTGTAGGTGTCCAGTTTGTCTACAAGTGAGTAAAGGAGGAGGAGCAGGAGACATGCGGAGGGAAGTGCGACGGGGGGGGCGGGGTCAGAATGAAAAAGGTGGGGGGGAGGC